CGATTCGTCCGGTACGTTTTTATCTCCGTAAAAGACTCGCGTGTACGGCCCAAACCTCCCTCTTGCGTGCGCCGCCAAAATGCATCATACCGTTGCCTCTTGCTTCTCAGAGATATGAAGACGGCGCGTCTTCGGCTTCACGATCGCTGATGCTCTGCTCACTTTCCCCCGAGTCGTCCGGAGATAAAATACGTCCAATTGTTTTTGTTGCGTCTTGTGAAAATGCGTTTGCTACACCTGCGGCACCCGCGCTCCCTTCGCCACCAAAAGGAACGCTGCCGCCAGATTCCTTCCTCGCCCTTTTAAAACTCCTTCAGAAAAACGGAAACGTCCGTTTTCTTCAAACGTAAAAGAAAATAAAAGAAAAAGAAATGAACATGTGCTTAGATGAGGTCGTTGACGTCTTATCCTCAGAAATGTGAGAGGAGGAAAACACAACAAAATGGGAGAAGACAATTCAGCCACACATCGCTCCGCATCAACGCGCTCCAAAGAAAAATCATCCAGCACGCATGCACACGCAACAAAAGCCATCAGAGAAATAAATCGACAACATCCAAACCCGTCGTAAAGTAGCAGAGCCGCAGCCTTAATTTAGTGCCCCTTTTGGCCGCCGGACTCCCCCGCACCGCATGAGGCGCAATGAAGGAGGCGGGCGGGACGACAGAAAGAAACTGCAGCCGCCACCTTCCCGCGCAGCACCATCAAAATTCGCCCCCACAACTCGCACATCCGTTCCAAAAAGTTTCTAAAGACAACAACTAAAAACGCTGCAAATCAATAAATATGAGATGTTTTGAGCACTGCGGATTGCAAGGCGGAGCATCCACGTATTCCACAGGAGGGCGGACTGGCACTTCAATTGGAAGGACAAAAATTCATAAGTTTTTCCTCCTCCTTTTGTTTCCCCGTGAGTGCGGGAACGCAGACGAGGGAAAACCCACAGTTTTTTAACACAAAAAAAAAGACGGCAGCCAAATGAGGGTCATTTCTTTCTTGTCGATTTCGTGAGCGTTTATTTATTTATTTATATTTTATTTTCTGCAAATTGTGCCGGAGACGAAAGGAAAAAATAAATAAATAAATAAATAATACACGCGGAAATTACAACAAAAACACAAACACGCGAAAGTAAAAATAAAGAGGCAACAACTAACATATCACACCGTCCTTATTTTCATTGCGGAGTTCGCTACAAAAAAAAATCCTCCATAGGATCACCATCGTGCGCATGCTGCAGCTCGGAGGCAGACAGAGTCGAGAGAACCAAGTGTTTACAATGAGATGCCACATCACTCGCATTGGCCTCATTCTCTACAACAATGGATTCACTTGAAACCCTCAGTTTTCGCAGTAAAATCTCTCTCGCAGCCGTTCTAATCGACTTGAGAGATCCACGGCCCAACCTGAAGTGCACATCCACCAAACGCTTAGCGAGCACCAACACGGTTTCCCCACCACTCACTGCAACTAAAATCACCTGACACCTCGCAGCTGGTAAGTAAATAAGAACATGAATTACGTCAGAGCCCTCTGAATACCGAATGCTGTCCTGCGGTGCAGCAAAAAGTGCGAGGCCACCGGTGTGTTGCCCATCATCCATAGAGTAGTATACACCTGCCAGAGCAGCGGAAACATCGTCGTCGTCATCATCCAAATCAGCATCGTCAGCATTCTCCTCGTCGGGAAATGTACCTGCGGTATTTCGATCTTCTTCTCTTCGTGGCGTCCCAGAGACAACAGTTGCTGCCTGGGCGGATTCAGTAGTCAAACGATCGGACTCGCAATTACAAGCATTCACACCGTTCAACTCTTTATGGTGGCTCTGAACACTAGCACGGGACGGATTTGTAGCCTGCGGTGTCTTTGAGAGAAATTCAAAATATTTGCGTCACACCCGTCGTGGTTTATTTACATGAAGCTTTTGTGATTTAACAAAAAAGCTCGAGCATGACGCACAGAAAATACCGCCACAGTACCGACAATGATGACGCCTGCACCCGAAATTAAATTTGACCTCACATATTTCGCACTTCTGTGTTGAGCTATCAGACGTCCATCCGCCTAATACCGATGGCCTGATCGTCATGTGCCATACTTTATTTCTACTGCATTTATCAACAGGCATAGAAAAGAATATGTGCATACAAATACATAAATAATATCACACGTGAGGGACATCCGTAACAGTAATGATAAGGCCAACCATATGAAGGAAGCTAAGCCGCAGACACACACACTATATATATATATATATATAGGGAGAGAGAAAGACGGAAAGAAAAAAAAGGGAAAACATTGTTGTTGCTTTTTGGTGTTGTTTCGTTTCACAAAAATTGCCTCTACCGTCATGTGCAACACCTTCAATCACGGCCCCAGTGAGTCCTCACCATCACTCTTTTTTACCATGGAAGACAATGGCCACCAAGAAATATCCACCTGAGACGGTGAAGAAGAGTCCCCGTCGTCACTTCCGCTCATGGAGTCTTCAGGCAGGCTGCCATTTGCGAAGGAGTTGTGGATCATCGTTCTAATTGTGCCGCGCGCAACGGGCCCGAAAGGGTGCAGGAACTCACTCAACATGTCGCCGGGCCAGGGGCTGAGCCAAGCAAAGAGTCGCGGATGGCCACGTCAAGTTCATACGGCGGGAAAGGCCAATCCATTTCCCAGCCACCAGGAACCAAAGGAGTGCAGCAAGCAGCAGCAGCAGTATAAGGCGGTATGGCACATGAAACCCGCACAAAATGACGGATAAGCAGATTTGCCTGTTGCCGAGGCAGAGCACAGACGCGGTCCGAAGATCAGTTCGAAGCACAACCGATTCCAGAGGATGAGGATGAGGATGAGGCGCCGCCATGCCGCGGAGATATTGCCACCTCGGGCTGGATGAGGCCCCAAGTTTTTTCGCGCGGGCTTTCAAAAGCATAGCAAAGCCACGGCGCAAGGCTTCATTTTGTTCCTTCATTTTCGGATGAATTCGGCTCGAAGCAGGCTGTCTCCGGGTGAGGCAATGTGTGTGCTTCGTGTGCTGCCTCGGCGGCGGACTCGGCCTGTTCCATTTCGTGTGTCCATATCTTTTTGGAGCTGTCACGGCTGCCGCGCGGGATGTGGCGCTCAGCTGCTCGTACGATGCCTCCGCGAGGATCCAACCATGTGGACGCGGTGGCAAGGAGGGTTTCACACAACGAGGTGGAAGCAGGCTAATCCGCTTTACGCGGGGCAATGGTGGCTTTCTTCCGTCAAGGCAGCGTGTTTGCTAGTCGTGGAGTGCCATCGTCCATCCCTACCAATTAAGATATTCAGCGGTGGTCCGAGTCCATGTAAGGGGCGAATGTCCAGTGGGAGATGCGTAGGGCGCAATACGCAGTCACGTCAGGGGACGAGGCATTACGATGTGTGATCCATTTTGCCTGTGTCGGGTCATTCGCCAGCCCAAAATCCATATCGATTAGAACAGCAGCGAAATTATCGCCTCCAGTCCTTGATGTTATATATGACTGTCCCAGAGTTCACGATGTAAATTCAGGTCACCCGCGATAATCTCTTCGGGCACAAGCGACAAACGATATTGATAAATGCGGATTATTGACCAATTGTTGTGGGAGGGTTGTAGAGATTCGCCACGCAGATGCTGCGACAGCCCGGTGGAAATACACGGACAACAATGGTCTCCAGGAGGTCAGTGCCAGGGAGCGACAGGCGCTCGCACGGCAGAGAGTGGCGTACCAGAATGGCAACGCCACCACCGCGCCCAGTGCGGCCTGAAGGCAGTCATTATAGCCAGATAATTTCGTCGCCACGTCACCATGGTTACTTATTTCGTGGAGAAAAACGATGTCAGGTGGACGCTGCTCCAATCGCGCCGCAAATGCAACCTTTTTCACGGACGAGAGGCCTGCAATGTTAAGCCGCCAAATATTGATGAGGCCATCCTCCTCGGGCCGGGGTTCTTGTGGACGTCACCGCAACGGGTGACATCAACGGAGTGACCGCTGCGAAACGGTCGTGCAGTTTTGTCCGACAGTCTGCAAGCAGACCGCCTCACCTCCCCACACCGGGCATGGCGTGGAACACTCTCGGGGGATGAAGTCACCTTGGTCTCCGTCGTCCTCGCAGCGACGCCCTGCTGCAGAGATATTATACGCAACTAAAGCCCCAGCACCGCGAAAGGGTGCGGACCCCATCGCTGAAGTACACTGCAATACCCATATCGTGTAATTGTCGTTAGGCTCTTACCCACAGTCACAAAAAAAAAAGCAAGGCATTTAGGGGCAAATACAACCACAACGGGGCGTCAAAAAACAAGCAGGATGAATGGTAGAACGCAACACTGCACGGCTGCTCACGCCGTGGAAAAACACGGGACATGTGCTGAAAAGTAAAAAGACGAAGATAAATCCGTCTTCCATTATGCAATCACTCAAAAACAAAAAAATGCACGTTGCTGCGTGGCCTCCAAATTGGTGCGTTTGTTTCGCCTGCAGATAAAAAATAAATAAATGTGTTGCACTCGTTACAGTCTTTTAAACCCCCGGTGCCCAGACATTATTTATATTCCACTGGGGCACTCGGCGTGGTTTCGTGCCCCCATTCCATTTTCTCTTTTACTAGCCGGCGCCATCGGCGTGGCACACAATGCCGAGCGCGCCCATGATCACTTTAAAAAGAAAATAAACACTGAGTAGATCCCGCCGTTGTCGGACCACAACAACAAAAAAAAGAATAATCTTCCGGGTAGCTGGCCGGATCCTGAAATTATCTATGGAAACCAAACAAGTTAGGAAAAAAGGTTCGTTAGTTAATTGCTTGAATGTTTTCTTTTCATTCAATATATAGAATTCTGTGGACCACCAGCATGGTCCTTTGTCCTCAGTTAGGATTTGAATATTATTACTTACGA